TCGATTAGGACTATAGCAGTCGACAACAAAACTTGTGATGATGATATTGGTTCCTCTGCATTACTTAGATCAACAGATTTAGATGCAAACCCTTGTTCAGACGCATTATGACTAGCCGAGATAGATGTTACTTTATTCTTGTCACATGCTTTGCCGTTTTCCTTTTTCAATTCAATATGAATCATTGTGTGATGGTTTCGGTTACACAGTTTGCAAGTAGAACCATTGCAATCAGTAGCAGAATGATTGGGTTTTAAACAATTAAAACATAATTTACGCTTTTTGACAAGATCTATTCTGTCAGATACACTCATGCTACTAAATTCGTCACACTGATAAATTGCATGATTAGGTTTTTCACAGATTACACAAACATGAGTAAAAGAAGACTTTCCCCTTGCTTGGTTAAACGTCCCTTTACTTTGAATACCTCTATTATTAGAATGACTAATGTTAGATGCAGATGTCTTAGATATGCTTGAGGATGCCAAGGCATTAGTTCTTTGGATAAGAAACGATTTTAGCTGCTCAAAATTAGGACTATCCTGTGTAGTTAAGGACATTTCCCATTGTTTTCTAGTCTCACTATCTAATTTGCTAGTTAGAATGTACACAAGTATGCTATTCCATTCACCTACATTTTCACCTAACGACTTTAGAGCCCTAATATGGGTTTCAGATTCATCAACTAATTTTCTAAGTCCTTGTGAAGACTCATTTTGTAAAGGTACTTGACTGAATAATCCTTTTAGGTGAGAATTTACAATCAGCCTTTTGTTGTCATACCTGAGCTTTAGAATGTCCCAGGCCTCTAAATAGTTTTGATCTGTAGACGGAAGTGACTGCAATAGGTGGTGTGCCTCCCCTTTTAGACAAGATTTTAGATAAAATAGCTTTTGGATGTTTGGAAGCGACTGGTTGTCATGGACAATAGATATAAATAACTCGCTGAATGAAGGCCATTCCTCAATATTCCCATTAAATGATGGTAGATGTAAATTAGATAATTTGACTTGAGAAATAGGGTCAACTGAAACACTTTGTTGAATAGAATTAACCGAAGGAACAGGAACTAGATTAGGGACATTAGTTTGATATTCACTTAGTAAATTTAATAATTTAGCTTTAGTTGCAAAATAATCATTTTCGAAAGCTCCTAAAATGTCATCATTAGCTTGTTCCTCATCTATACTGCTAATTTCTTCATGAATTTGAAGATACAGATCAAATAGTTTATCAAGCTTTTCTTGCCTTACAATCAGGTTTGCCTTATCTGTACTGGTAATACTCACATTTTCTAGGTATGTATTGATTCTGGTAAGGGCTGATTTCACTGTACTCCTCTGTTTTAATAATGTTGTTACTCTTTGCTGGCTCATATTGCGTGGCGTAGAAGGACCATAAAGAAATTATAGATATTTACTCAGAAAAGTGGACATGGTTTTCTCATTCATTTACTCACTCAACTCATTATTTATTTACATTTTTGAAAGTAAACACTAACATTTTAATAATTAGAAAACATATGACTTAAATAAAGAATTTATGGTAAAGTCTAACCAGTTTCCATTTCGTATGTTTAACCATTCTTTAGAAAAAAATTAATAACTGAAAAAAACAAAATAGCGGCTGTGTGAGTAACTAAGGACTTCCGGACATTTTAAATATGATATTTAGTTATGTTTTTTACCCAGGATCAATGCCCTAACATATTGGTAGAGAGTTCTGGGACACCCTGTATATTTCGGCATGAATAATTAGTCTAAAAACAGCGTAAAAGTTGGAAAATGTACCCTAGGGACACGTCATGGTCGTGAATTTAGAGACTTTAAAAATACCTAGAACCTATTTAAAACCAAATAAATGTGTGTAACATGTTGCCCCCATCCCAAAAAATATTAAAACACATAATAATAAACTACAAATCCAGTATCTACGAAGTAAAAGGCCAGAGACATGAAAACGTACGTTTTTAAATTTTCACTCAAAAACTAACTTTCGGATATTCACATTTGAACCCTTGAAGGGCAGGCTCAGTAGAATCCAGAAGGGCCCTCTTTAAAAAATCCGGGAATATTATTTTTATTTACAATATTAGACTATGGGTACTCAAATTGTTCAGTTTTTTTTTTCCTAAATGCAAATATGCAGTTTGATTTAAGATTCAACTATTACAAGCTTAGTAAATCTGGAAAACCCAGGAAAATGGGTAGTTTCCTTAATTTATCTTAATGGAGGATTAAAGATTCCTTCTTATGTAAGAAAATATCCAAAGTATAAAGTGTTATGTATGTTCTTAAACAGCACAAAATACACAATATTTTGTCATAATTTAATAAACATTTATTTTTTGAGTATTTTCACGCACTGCTCCCCTTGTTTTTTATCCAGCCATACTCCAAGATGTTTTATGGCCTGGGCATCAGGGCTCCACGGTAGAAATTTACCATACATTTGAATTTCGTGGCAAATGTATGTTTTTTCAAGGAAAATATGTTGGTAGTTTCGTTGTTTAAGTTTATGATTAATGGCTCCATGGCGTCATCCCTTACTATTTCCTTGGCCCAGTCATCCTCTTAGAGTTTCTCCGCATGCCGAACACACTTCTCTCAGTCACTTGCACTTTGCAGTTACTTTGTCGAGCGTCGGAAGTAAGTTTCTCAACATAACTGATTTTAAACGTTGTTTTTTTTTCAGAAACCTCCCGTTTGACTTGAGCCCAAATCAACTCAATCGGATCGTATTGGCAGTGATATAAGCTCAATGGCTCATGCCGGTTTGTTGGTACTGTACTCACTGGTGGTACTGGACATAAACTTATTATTGACCACTGTCAACGCAAATGTCATTTAGACACAATATTTTTCGTTCATACAAACAATTGATAGTCATAACGGTGATTTCAACAGAATATTCGGCGCAAGTTAACAAAGTTAACAAGAGTTTACAATATCTACAAGAAAATAATAAATATAAATGTTAAATTTCTGAAACTATACAAAAGTGTTGGTAAATAACCCTCCTATACCTATACCTTAAAAATTTGAAGCTCGTATGTTTATTATAGATTTATATAATAGGTTACGTACCTTGTTCCGCCTTCAGTCTTAACTTAGTCTATGGATGACTAATTTCAGGTACAAAGACCCATTATCAAATCCTTATAAAACATCATATTGAATATGGTCAAACATCCAACGTAAGTCTTCATCAATGTATACATGCAGGTCGACACGTAAAATTTACACATTTAAAAAAACAAAAGTTACAAATACATTTTATACAATAGGCCGGTCACATTGAATGCGGGACAAACCGACGCAGGATACACGGCGGACACGACAGAGTTACTTTTGTTTTTTTAAATGTGTAAATTTTATGTGTCGTTGACCTGCATGTATAAATTTATTACATTTACGAGCTTTATTAAGCTTTATCAAGGGGCTATTTACCAAAACACTTTAGTATATTTTCATAATTTAACATTCATATTCATCATTTTCTTGTAGATTTTTTAGACCCTTGTTAACTTTGTTATCTTGCACTTCAGTTTCAGAGTTAGCCAATTCCTACGTCTCTTTAATTATTGTAGTAAATCATTATTAGGTGGGGGTGAAGAGCAGATAAGCAGAGCTGCCAACAAGACAAACCAGTCAGTGTGTTAAATCCCCAGTCAACGTTTATGACTCCAGGTTCCAGGTAACTTAACGTTTCAAAATGTTATTTGGTTGGAGACATAAGCAGTATACGAAAGTAAGATAGCATAATAATTAATGTCCCACATTATAAAACGTTAAATTTGTTACATTAGTGTGTTATCACTGAATAGGCCTAACAAAATTAAATGATAACAACACATTTTTAGTAACATTCATGTTATTACTTGTTTAATACAATTATTGAATGATCAATAATAAATTTCAATAAGAATTAACTCCAATTCTTCTGTCCCACTCATTTCGCCTAAATCATAAACAATTTGAAAGACCACCAAAATTAATTTTTTAAAGCTAAATATGAATGAATGGTGAGTTTTAACAACTTTTAAAATTAGCTTCATATAAAAGAGATTACAAATACAAATATCAAAATATATAGATAAACAACATGTTTTTACTTTCTCCCCCTATACCATAGTATATGGAGAAAGTATTGTTTTCGTCAAAATTTTCGAGTTTGAGTTTTGAGTGGGTATATTCGTTTTGGGCCCCCCTGGACCCAAAAAAGTGGTTTTCGAAGTGATGTCTGTGTGCGTGTGTGTGTCTGTGTGTCTGAATGTGTACAGAGCTAGAGACTACACCTGTGGTCCGATTTCGATGAAATTTGGTATGTAGGTTCTAATCCATGGTATCTCCAAGCATTTTTTTCATATTTTTATTTTTAATGGGGATTTCCTCATAAAAACCCATAAAAAACCGGAAAAATCGGATACTCTCAAAAATGGCCCAAACGATTTTGATAAAAATTTAGTATGTTGTAGCCCTTTAAATTACAAATAAAATAGTACAAATCCATTTCTGTAAAAATTACGGTTCAAAAGTTATTTGAAGTTATTATCAAATATGTTATTTTCCCATAAAATAACAAAAAATAGGATTTTAGAAAAAAATCCGGTTTTGATTTAACAAAGTATGTTATGGTCCTTACAATTTTGATAATTTTTTAGAAATTTTTATTTTTAATGGGGATTTTCCCATAAAACCCCATTAAATAATGGAAAAATAGGATTTTACCAAAAATGGCCTGAACGATTTTGATAAAAATTTAGTATGTTATAGTCCTTTATATTCTGAACAAAATGGTACAAATCCCATTTCCGTAAAAAATACGGTTCAAAAGTTATTGTAAATTATGTCATTTTCCCATAAAACCCCCATAAAATAATAGAAAAATCGGATTTTCCCAAAAATGGCCCGAACGATTTTGATTAAAATTTAGTATGTTATAGTCTTTTAAATTCTGAACAAAATTGTACAAATCCCATTTCCGTATATTTACTCTCACCGCTTACACATGATAAAGGTTGTTTACAAACTTATGAGAGAAAGTATGTGTCAGAATGCTGATACCGTTTATTTAAGTATTTTATTAATACTTAGCACTATTTAATAAAGAGTTTGTATTTTTAATAACATGATTCGTGACTTTAAAGTTATGACTAGAATCAATTATGTAGACCTACATAAAACAACAAATAACAAAAATTACTATTTTTTTATAGTAAATTTGTCAGCAAGGTATTTACATGTAAAACAGAAAATAAAAGACAAATTACAAAATAAACTATGAACAGTATAACAAATTGTAACACTACGACAATGACAGTTTAGGCACTATCATAAATTTGGCTCAAGAGAAAAAAAGTAATTTTATTAAATTGTTCTTTTGTGAGTATCACTTTTTTTTCTATTTGATATTTGATATCATGGAGCAAAATTGTGCCTTTAAGAAAATGTTACCAGTGGTCCAGTCTACAATAACTTGCGTTAATTAATAATCTATTATGTAAAGGAACTATAACAATTGTGCTTATTTGTTTTAAAAAACTACTACGGCAGAGGGTTTTATCATCTAACACCACTACTTAAAGTCTCCACAAAGTCTTTAGCAAACTCGTAACACCCGAAGAAAACCCCACCTCCAAGGAAGATGAAAACTGTTCTAGGAACAAAGCCAGCAAAGAGTCTGAAATGAATTCAATATACATCAATATTTTTAAATAAAAGAATACTAATTATAAATAGGGTAAATGTTTTATGTAAATAAAAACTATCTAATGTATAACAGGTTGTGTTTTGTCAGTGTCTTCCAGTGGGTTTCAATAAAGAATTTAAATTTAAGCCCATCCAAGGAATTAGAGTAAACATTTACAATGAATAGTTCTCAGGTACCGGTACTTTTCATTTTTAAAACCTTGAGACATTTCAACATCATCCAAGTAAAATAATTTGCTCTATTTAATTTTGTTCGTCAAAATAATCTTAACTATGCGGTCGAATGGCGAGTATAAGTCGCCGCCCACCATTATCCCAACTGCTCGAAAATAGCGACCTATACAAAAAAAAAAAAAAAAAATGAAAAAAGTTTATCTTTGCGGTCAAATGGCAAGTATAAGTCGCCGCCCACCATTATCCCAACTGCTCAAAAATAGCGACCTATACAAAAAAAAAAAAAAAAAATGAAAAAAGTTTATCTTTGCGGTCGAATGGCGAGTATAAGTCGCCGCCCACCATTATCCCAACTGCTCAAAAATAGCGACCTATACAAAAAAAAAAAAAAAATGAAAAAAGTTTATCTTTGCGGTCAAATGGCAAGTATAGGTCGCCGGGCTCCTTTTTTCCCGACTGCTTGAATGACAACCTATACTCGCCGAAAAATTAAAAAAATTCAAAAAAAGGGTTAGTTATAGATAGACATATAACATTTCTTAATCATAATTAAAGGTAACTTATTGTTTGATCTGAAATCTTAATATTTTGTGGCTGTTTACTGTTTTAGCCAATCTACAAAAAGTAAGGTTAGTTTTACATTTAATTTTAGTACTTTTGGCAGGTACACCACATCCAAGTGAAAGAATAAATCTGGCAAAACCCCTCAAATGTTTGTGGACATGTTAGAGATCAAACACGTCCCCCTCAAGTTAAAGTCAGAGATGCCAAACAACTAAGATAAACATCTACACACCTAAAAAATTTAATTTTTTGCTCGTGTCTACGCCAGTGGCATATTTCTAATGAAGTTAATTCAAACGCTTTTAAGAGAAAGCGGTCCAAACCCATCAAAGTTTTGTGGATGTGCCGAAATTCGAACCTGTCCCTCTCGCACCGAAGTCTGAGACGCTAACCACTAGGCTAGCAACACACCCAATATGTAATGTTTCTTAAAAATAACAGCAATGATAAGTGGAATGTGCATAATTTTAACCACCTTCATCTTAAAATCAATTTTTTTATCTTGGTCCTTAAGACAAATAAATATCATGGATACTTCCACTATTTTTTTAACAGTTAGTTAAGACTCAACGAATACTGATTTGGGCTTAACAAGATCAGTGTGCCAAAGCCTGGCACCAAAGCAACAGTGTTTTTTTTTGGGGGGGGGGGATTTCCCATTTCTTTCACTAGTCAATCCCCATCAATCAGTTTTATAAAGCGTGGTTGCTATTTTTTCAGTTTTTAATTTTAGTGTGGAAGACTATATTGTGAACTTACCCTTGGACACCCTTGGTCCTATATATCTGCTGCAGTACTGAGCCCATGGTGGTGGAAGGATCTTTAGCTAACATAATACGAGTCTTGGCCAGGTCTAGGGGTGTTGTGATGGCCCCAGCTATAGCCCCTGTAACACAGTTATAGATGTCTTGAGAAAGCTCCAAAGGCTCGATTCTGAAAACTTTCAGGTATCTTTAGAAGATTTGAAAGAGTGTGATCAGCTGCCTTTACATTTGACCTTTAAGTAGTTATCACACAATGCTTTCACACCATTATTTTAATTTTAATATAATTCTTTATTCAATTTCACCTTAAAATGCAAATTGATGTGCCAATGCTATAGAACTAATAATAATATCTGCCTCAAAGTACACAATACAGTAGACTCCCTCTTATTTGGACTCCTCGGGACCAACGCCAGCCAGGATAATGGGTTTTCCGGTAAAACCGATGTCCCCAAAAACTCGATAAAGCGGACTGTTTCAATGCATACTGTATACAGTATTTGACTTAAATTTAGGAGAGCATTGTATTTAAACACGTGATTACTGATCTCAAATCTTTCCCGCGAGAACGGTCGTTTCAATACCGCCCTCTTCCTGCCGCTCTACTCTGGTTAAACCGATGTGCTGATAAAAATTGTCCAGTTAAAGAGATGTAATTTCTGCCGAGTGTAGTCTGGTTAAACCGATGTCTGGTTAAAAGGTGTCCGGATAAGAGGGAGTCTACTGTAATGACAACTAGTGGTCATCCAGTGGTCGAAACTCGACCAAAAATTTGTAATGTACACGCATTGACTATTGGATTCTAAAGTAGACAGCCCATCTGCTGCCGTCATTTTTTAATTATAAAACATTGTACAGTAGACCCCATATAATCGGCACTGTACCACTCTGGCACTCCAGTAATCCAGCGTCTTTTGGCGGGAGGTCTTCCGCGATCGTGTAGATATCATCATTCTCTCCTGCGGCCATGAAAACGTTATCGTCGTCTTGCGCGATCGTGGCAAAATCATGAACATCTCCCGCGGACTTATTGACGTTATCATCGCCTCCCGTGGTTACGGAAACGTCATCGTCATCTTGAATGATCGTGGCTAAATCATGAACATCTCCCGCGGTCATGTAGACATTTTCGTTATATTCCGCGGTCGCGGCAAAATACTTTATCATCTCCCGCGGCTGTGTAATCATCATTGTCTACTCCCGCGGTCACGGAAACGTCATCGTCGTATTTCGCGATCGCGGCAAAATCATGCTCATCTCCCGTGGTCATGTAGACATTATCGTTGTCTTCCGCGGTCGTGACAAAGATTTTATCATCTCCCGCGGCCGTGTAAACATCATTGTCTACTCCCGCAGTCACAGAATCGTCATCGTCGACTTGCGCGATTGTGGCAAAATCATGATCATCTCCCGCGGTTACGGAGACGTCAACATCGTTATGCGCAATCGCAGCAAAATCACGAACATCTACCGCGGACGTGTAGACGTTATCATCATCCCCCGCAATCACACGTCATCGTCGTCATGAACGATCATGGCAAAATCATGATTATCTTTCGTGGCCATACACGTTATCATCGTTTCCCTCTATTACGAAAACGTCATCGTCGTCATGCCTGATTGCGGAAATAGTGGTTTCCGATCGCGCGATCTTCGGAGACGTGTTTTAATTGTTTTTATTGATAATATTCCCGTAATCCAACATTTTCACTAATGCAGGGCAGTATCACGGTCCTAAATCTGCCGGATTACTGAGAGTCAACTGTAATTGTTCGAGCCATACAGAATGCATGTGTAGAATTAAAATTATATATTCTATTTTCGACCTCATTTTTTGTTGCTGACACAGTTGATGGTTCATAACAGTTGCTATAGCTCATAATAAGACATTCCAAAAGTTGACTTGGTAATAAACATTGTTTATTCAACAGAAATTAGTAATTTAGATCAGCGCAATTTGTTTGGTGGCTCACATCAACTACGACAAATTTAATTAAAAAACTGGTGACAACTTTAACATGGGGATGGAATGTGTCTAGTTGTAAGTCAATGCTACAGGCTTATCTATTTTCACCCCAAGCTGTAAATAAAACATGTGATTGGAATTGCTTCCATTTGTTTTGATTTTATGTTTATATTCCGTTGTTATTTCGTCACCAGCATGGCAACCCATGAGGCCCATATCAATGTTATTTTTAAAATTTCAAATTCATTTCTTGTGCTTATTTTTGAACCTATTTTAATTTATAAAGGGATTCTGCACACCTACAGAAAAATATCTTTCTAACAGTGTGCGTAGATTTTCCCTACGATGCACACAAGCTGAGAAAAAAGGTTTTAATTTAAAAAATTACTGGGACGGGTGGCGTCGTCCTGTAATCCAGCTACTAGGAGGTCACGAATTATGGATATTTATAGGCATGCACTGTGGATGCGATATTCCCTGGTGTGGATTAACGTCTGCACGGGTGAGTACTACCACTATCCGCAGTGCTAATTAGACCAATTCGTATATACCAAGGCAAAAATGTGGTTCGGATTCCACTATAAACTGTAGGTCCCTTAGTTGCCATTAGCTATATGGGCTATTAATTAACAGCTGTGGCTAAGGAATTTCGGTCTTAGTCACTAACAAGACTACAAGATCGCGCCACTCATCCTACACTCATCTCCATTCATACATGGCTTAAAATACCTACTTTGTATGGACGCCATTTCATTGAACAGTATTAACATGCTTGCCTATTAATATATAGATAGATGTAGCAATCCTCAAAATATGGAGTTAACAGGACTTTTTAAATAACACTTACTTTTACTACGCTCTTAAGCCTGGTTTACACGTGTCGAGTATGGCAGGCCTGTTGTCGGCCCAGCTGTTGATTTGTTCAACTCGCCCAATACTTGAGTAGACAGTCAACATGCATCCCTATTTCTGACAGGGACAGTGTAGGCACAGGAATTTTATAATGATTACTTTTGTTGTTATTTTTATATACCGACATAACTAGTTATGTCTTATTGCTTTAATAAAAAATGTTCTTTAGTTCAAGACATTAGTCCAGTAACTTTGTTCTATGAAGGGGGGGGGGGGTACCTTGCTTCAAATCTGGTAGTTCTGATTTATTGCTTACTTATTTTCTTATCTAATGATGTTGGCCCAATGAATAATGCAAGTTTGAGACCTCAAGCGCCAAATGCAACCTTGTTAAAAATTGAAAAATTAGTGAATTTTTTTACTTTAATTTAGCTTTTGGTGGTTGTAATTCTGAAGGACTTAATTGTTCAATAATGCTTATAAATACTGGGTTTGAAGTAGACTAAATACCCTACACTTTGACACTAAATACGGTTTTAGTGTCAAAGTGTAGGGTATTTAGTAGTCTAATTAGTCTATTTAGTCTGTAGTCTAAATATATTTACCGTGATGCAGCCTTTCAAACATTATTAATATTTTTGAACTTAGCAATTTTTATTAACAGCATAATTTGTAAACTAAACATGTTTACAATAAGTTGTCACATCCACACACAAAGGTTTTAATATTCAATGTTTGAACAATAGAATATTTAATTGACTAATCAGCTTATTTCTATTTTTACATTTTTCCTTATAAATATACAATTTTTTTAAATAAATAGATTATCCTCAATTTTTTCTTTTGAGTGGCCATTTTGTAACAGGTGTTGAGCGACATTTACACTTTTATTGTAAACTCAATCCTTATGTCACAAACCTGCTACGGCACCACTAAAGGCACCCTCGACTGGTGTGGTGGTGTGGCCAGTTGCAGAGTGTAGATACACCTTGATTGCCTCCCAGATAGGGAACTGGATTACGGAGAATGGAATGTCACGTATGATAGTACTAAGAAAGCCCCGGTACAGTCCCGGCAGACCCTCAGTCTGCACTGCGTGACGGATGATGGAGAGTGGCCGAGTACCGGACGTCTGGCGTCTCTGCTTGACCACCTCCACTGGCACCTTCACTAGGTTTACCACCTGAACAGTGATACAACTTTAACTTTATAACTACTACAACTTTATGGTATTTGAGGAATTATTATGGACATTTAACAGTTAGTTAAAAACGAGTTTTCACAACGCTACAACCAAGAACTTAATAAACTTTTAAACAACTTTATTTTCCAATGTAAAGAGGTGGCAAAAGAGTTGTTTTAACACATTTTTTTCAGTGTACAGCCACACAATATATAGAAATTAATTTGTTAATGTATCACGACCGTCTATACTTCTCGTGATAATAATACTTAGGAATGATCTAAATTGGTAACATTTTATTTGAACATGTCTTTTGTAAGAAGTCTCTAACACTAATAACAATATTTGTTTACATCTGATCATAATAATATAATATCCTAAATAAAACATATGTTTTATTTACAGTCTTGAAACATCCCCCTCCTTAAAGGTCGAGTCTCCTTGGAGGATGTACTTGACGTCCGTGTCTAGTCTTGTAACTTGAGTTGTCCTCTTGTGGTTTTGGACTTCTGGTACAGACACTTGTTGAATTTTGTTCTGTCACATTGTCTCGTGATGGTGTACTTTTCAAGTCATCGGGAAATGGTAGAAGATGGAAACGGTTTCTTCTTAGGTCTCTTGTATCAGTCCTGACAATATATGATCGTGGCTCAGTTGCTGTTTTTACAACCGTTCCAGGTTTTCCCACTTCAGATATCCAAACGCTGTCTCCAGATTTCAAACTTCCAAGAGATTTGGCACCATGTCTGGAGTCATAATTTCTCTTGTACTTTTCTCTATAATTCCTCTCCCTTTGTTTCAAGTCACTCAAATCTGGCTTTTCTGTTAAAAGTCCTGGCAAAACTGGTAGGTTGTCTCGTAAACGTCGTCCCATTAGTAGTTGTGCAGGGCTAAACCCGTTCGATATTGGAGTGTTACGGTATGATAAGAGTGCCAGGTAAGGGTCTTCTTTATTTTTCTTTAGGATGCATTTTGCTACCTTCACTGCAGCCTCTGCAGCTCCATTACTCTGATGGAAGTGAGGGCTACTTGTCTTTAACTTGAAATTGTAGTCTTTGGAAAACTGCTGGAATTCCGAACCTTGACGCATGGGGAATTGGGTTCCGCTGTCGGTTCTGATTTCTTCTGGAATTCCATGACGACTAAATACTGATTTACATTTTTCAATGACTTGATGACTTGTCAAAGAACGTAAGGTTGCAATTTCAAAGTATCGTGAGTAACAATCTGTTAACACGATGAACCATTGACCACTTAACTTGAAAAGATCCATTGCTGCAATCTGCCAAGGTCTTGAAGGGAACTCTGCTGGAATAAGTGGTTCGTTTTTATTTTTCCTGTGCTGAATACATTGTGGACAACTTTCAACCATCTTTGCAATCTCACGAGATATTCCTGGCCACCAAAGACTGTTGCTGGCTCGGAGTCTACATTTTGTTATTCCCAAGTGTCCTACATGGATTCGTTTTAGCATTTCTTCTCTCAATGCTTCTGGAACATATATTCTTGTTCCTCGTAATACAAGATCATCAGCAACAGAAAGTTCTTCCTTTACGTTGAAAAATGTCTTTAATTGATCTGGAATTTCAGATTTTTCTGGCCAACCATCAATGATTAAGTTCCGTAATTTCATACAAATTGGATCTTGTCTTTGACAATGTAGGATTTTCTGTATGTTTTCATCAGTAGTTGGAACATTGGAAATGACTTGTCTCACGTAGTAAGTGAGTTCCTCCTCTAAGTCATAGTTTTCAGTGTCCTTTAGAGGGTTACGTGAAAGACAGTCAGCTGTTATTAGGTGTTTTCCAGGAGTATACACAAGATTGTATGAGTAACGCATCATTCTTAGTCTTATTCTCTGTAGACGTGGAGTTAATTCATCTAAGTTTTTTGACGTCAAAATCTTCAAAAGTGGTTTATGATCTGTCTCGATTATTATGTCCTTACCAACTATATAGTCTTTCAACTTGTCACATGCCCAGGCGATTCCCAGAGCTTCTCGTTCTATGTTGGAATATCTTCTTTCTGCTTCAGTGAGAGAACGTGAGATGTAGCTTACTGGTTTGAATGTGCCACTTTTTTCTCGTTGCAACAATACTCCGCCGATACCAAATGATGATGCATCAGATGAAATCATTGTTTGGAGATTAGGGTCATAGAAAGCTAAGTGAGGAGCCGTAGTAAGAAGATTTTTGATAGTATCGAAAGCTTTTTGTTGTGGTTTGTCCCATATCCATTCATTATTTTTGTTGAGTAGCTCGTGAATAGGCTTCAAAATCTCAGACCTATTTGGAATATATCTTCCACTAAAATTGATCATTCCAAGATATCTTTGTACACCTTTCACATCAGTTGGAGGCTCCATCGCAGAAATAGCCTTAACTCTCTCCTGATCAAGAGAAATGCCATCAGCACTCAGTTCAAAGCCAAGGAACTTAATTTTTGGCTTTGAAAAGACTGTTTTCTCTTTATTCAAGGTAATGCCTTCATTTTGAAGCTTTTCCAGAACCTCCATCAAAACCTTGTCATGCTCGGCTTGTGTGCTTCCCCATATTAGGATATCATCAATGTAAGCTTTTACATTTCTTTGATCACCAAGAGCAGCATGGATGCGTTTCTGGAAATACTCTGGAGCTGATGTAATGCCAAAGGGGAGGACCTTGAACTTAAATCGTCCCCAAGGTGTCAAAAAAGTGGTGAGATCTTGTGATTTTTCTTCCAAAGGTATTTGCCAAAACCCGTGATTGGCGTCTAGTTTAGAGAACACAGTAGCTCCTTTGATCTGTGCTATTGTGTATTCTATCCCTGGAATTGGATGTAACTGGCGCCGAACACTTTGGTTTATTTCGAAAGATCAACACATATCCGGACGTTACCGCTGTCTTTCTTTGGTACGACGACCATCGGAGAACACCAAGGTGTAGCATGGTCTACTGGAGTTATGACCTCCATATTTACCATTCTTTGAATCTCTTCCTTGGTTTTTGACCATAATGGTAGAGGTATTCGTCGAGGCACTGTAATTGAAAATGGCTTTGCTCCCATTTTTAGCTCAATTTCATAAGCTCCGTTCATTTTACCTAAACCACTGAAAAGAGATGGACATTTTTCGTACCAGTTCGTCGAAGTTGAAGACACACTTCGGACAACTTGTAGAAGGTTTAGTTTTTCAATGGCTGGTTTACCTAGGAGTGGTGTTTTACATTTTTCTGCTACATAAAAATGCTCAAAACAAGATTTGTTCTTATAGTCTAACTTTACATTTACCATCCCTCGTACAGCTAACTGAGTCCCATCCGGTCCTGAAAGTCTTTTACACGTATGTTGTAATGGAACTTTTTTGTTTAGCTTTATATTAGCTGGCAAAACTGAAACGTCTGCTCCAGTATCGATTTTAAACTTAATAATGTCAGAATCATTAAACCTGAGGTCAATTTCCCAAGATTCAGGGTTTAGAGCACTGTTTTCAGTAATTTTACCTATGAATTCTTCAGAATTTGATGAATTTGTACAATATTGATTAACAAACTGTGGTTCACTACTGACTTCATTAACCTTTTGCTTAGAACAAACTTTAGCAAAGTGACCGTTTGCTTTACAGTTGTTACACCGAACATTTTTGGCAGGACACAAGCCTCGGCGATGGGATGGAGTATTCCCACACCATTTACATAGGTTTTCTGGATTGTATTTTCCATGGTTATTAGAAACTGTTTTCTTACAAAAAGACTTTTTAGGAGTGGTAAATTTTACCCGATCAACGGAGGGATCAGCTAGGTCAAGTTTTTGCCTAACTAATGCCTCTGAACTGCGAAGAGCATCAACTGCAGTTTCTAATTTTAGTGAGCTTTGTAACTGTAAGCGATCACTAAGGTTTTGATCATTCATTCCAACGATAAGTTGCATGAGAATCATTTCATCCCTTAAATCTCCCCAGTTGCATGGTTTTGCAAGAGTATGTAAGTCTGTGATGAAATTTTCAGCAGACTCTGAGGATCCCTGTTTTCGTCTAAGAAATTTAGCACGCTGATAAATTATGTTTGTTTTAGGAACGAAATGGTTTTCGAATTTTCCCATAATCAATTCATAATTTTCCAACTCATCAGGGCTTAGATTAAAGGAATCAAATATTTCCTCAGCCTTATCCCCCATACAGTAGCAAAGAATGTCAACTTGCCTTTTCCCAGGTGCTTTATGTAGATCGCTGACTAACCTGTACCTTTCAAAGCGTTTCTTCCACGCACTCCAATCATAGGGGTTGAAGGAAAAATTGTCTGGAGGCTTGACATGGATTTGATTTCTTTGAAGTCTGTTCTCTTCAATTTCCTGTTGGATCTGTAGGTTTACATCAGACTGCGCCATGTATCACGACCGTCTATACTTCTCGTGATAATAATACTTAGGAATGATCTAAATTGGTAACATTTTATTTGAACATGTCTTTTGTAAGAAGTCTCTAACACTAATAACAATATTTGTTTACATCTGATCATAATAATATAATATCCTAAATAAAAGATATGTTTTATTTACAGTCTTGAAACAGTTAATTGTCAACAAATAGAGTAGAATAAAACAGAGTACCGGTATCAAGTAAAACAAAGATCGGATGGTCGAGACTCTACTGTACTTGCCCTTTAGGTTTTTAGTTGGTGATAATTATTTGATATCGTAAATTTTCCAGATAGATTATTACAGATATATTTTTTCAATCACATTTAGGGGTTGTAGGTACTATTCTGATAGGGCCCATTCTATGTGGAATTTGTTAGTAAAATAACTAATACAAGCTTTTTTAAGAAAAAAAAATGTTGACGAAGCACTTTAGATTATAAGATTTAACTATAACTTACATTTAACTTAACAGCAAATTAACTAGTTTAAGTTTTAAAGCACACATAGGCATTATCCTAACTTACCAGTTCGGCAACAGAAGCACTCGCCACATGACACACGGGGCTCCAAGCACCATAGAAATACGGGGAGAACCAACCCTTAGACTCATTGTAAGTCAGGAAGAAAATCGAAGCTGAAAAATAGTGAAAGCATTGACCAATGACCATCTTATACAAATTAATTACAATACAATCATTACAGTAAAAATTTAAAATCCATGGATTATTCTGTTGCAAACATTTAACCATACATGTTTCTATCTGAGTAGTCTCTCATCTCATGGACACAAATATTTTAAAACAGGGCTCTTCTTTTAGATGGTTCCCAAAGTGGTAAGAAACTCATTGATTACAAAGTGGGAGGAAGGTATACAGGTATACTATAAATTCTCTACTCAAATACAGTATTAGTAAACTAGAGCTGATCACTGACTTACCACAGGGTGCAGACCCTGCTGCAGTCGGTCCTAAACCTTTATAAATCTGCTTAAAACCTCCAGCCTTCCAAAACCCTTGTTCACTTTGGATTCTCGTTTTCAAAGTATCCAATGGGAACAAAGTAACATCAACAATTAAACCAGCGATCGCACCAGCCTGTAACACAAACACTTTGGTGGGATTTCTTCAAACAATATCACAACAATATTGATTAGTGGTAATATGACGTGTTTGTTCAAACAATAGATCAGATACAGTACATGATTTAGCTAAGCAAATTTTTGTAGTTGTGGACAAGCTATAGTGAGGGTTGGGTGTATGTTCTAAGCTGGCAGCTTCAAGTCAACTTGTCCACTGTCTGACCTGAGGTTTGGAGGTGCCAATCAGCAGTAGTGTGTCCATGGCGGTAGACCGTACATTGTTTTGGAGACTTTTTACCCTGCACGCGCGCTCACGCTATACATTCATAGTTCGTGAATTGGGCGAATTACTAATTATGTATTAGTTCGAAGATGAGTGTGTTATTTGTGCATATTACACTAAGGCATGAATTGCTGTTGCCTTATCTTCAATCCAGAAGTCAAATAATAACGCTATCTCGTGACTTGAAGGCCAGAATACAACTCGATTCTAGGTTATCCACAGAGAGAAAATATACGACAACTAGCAAGAAAAAGTTTGAGATGTGACTTCTGTCCATGACTAAGATAAAAAGACGACAAAAATCTGCAACAATCTTGTGGAAACTGTTCTGTGGAGGACTGTTTTTACGTGTGAAAACCAGACTTTTTAGAGATAATTAAAGGTTTAAAATTTCATTTATTTGTGTTTTGGTATTTAAATTCAAAGTTTAAGATTTGAATAAAGTATTATGTTGTTTTTCATTAAAATCCTAAAAAGACACAATGGGGTAAAAAATTACTCTACGCGCGTTCTCGTGTTTTGACGGTAGGCGCGCGCTCTCCAGGGTTAATATTACAATACAACTAAAATGATGTGATATTGTGATTTATGCGCTAAGAATAGTATATGACGTTACTAGTCCTGAAAATAAGTATTACCGGACGAGTGTGGTCGTTCCCGTGCAGAATTACCATTATAGTCCGGTAAACACATTTTGGAAGAGTGACGTTCAATATTTTACGCCATACTACTCTAAGCTAACTTAACAATAAAAATTATATTATACCCGCCGACTACAGGACTAACAATCACTACTCTTTTTGTTTATAGTCATTCATTGCCAAATATAATCAGCTGGTTGGTGTCCGGTAAAAACTTTTTACAGTACAGTAGCACGTAATGAAATCCCATAAGATTAAGCTGGCGGCAAACAGCTGTTTTCTGAAATAAATCCTTGCGTGGGAAGTTTGTTAAAACAGTGTAGTGTGGAGTAAAATTATTTATTTTCTAGTGGGCAGTCAAGTGGCAGTAATAAAGGACCAGCTGACGCACTAGTAAACAATACACTTAGGACACAGACTCGACCCTTGGTTTGTCTTAGCTTGTCAACAACTGTAATACATTGAGCTTCTCATATTATTTTTTATGTCAATTCAAACAAACAAAATAATCTGGTTTTCTGTACACGGGAAAGATGTGTAGCCCTAGCACATCTCTCAGACTCAAGATGGAATGCCACTGTTAGGGGTTTAGATCTAACAAACTAATAAATAATTTTAAAGTACCTCTGTCGGCGTTTCTTGTCTATGACTGTGCTTCCAATGAAATAATATCAGAATAATTATGGTACGGTAGTGAATAGTATGGTAACTATGGCCTGATATTTGACCATGATAGGACCGGGCTAAGGTCGGAACGGCCTAAAAGTTGAATATTGGGAGGAGCATATCTTGCGCTCTCCTCGGCCACACCGGTAATTGTCTCTCTGTACAACAGCAAAACCCAAAAGCATTTCTTGCGGTATTGGCGACACCGAGGAAGAGTCTTCCGAGACAGCATTGATCGTGATCGCATTTGGTGAACCGAACACGCTTGGCATTATCACCCCAGACAGGAAACAAGTAGACGGTCGGACACTAGGTCAGATATTCCGAGGAGTCGGTCTTGCCGAGATAGGATATAAGGGGTTTTACTGTACCTAATAAGAGAGCATGTGCCTTGAATTTCAGCATGCATCTGCTATTGCACTAACAATTATCTGGTGACAGTAGTGCAACGGACTTCGGGCCCAAGGCAGTGATGTTGTAGGTTCAGATCATGATATCTACCACTCCCTAGGAACTTATTATCAGTACAGTACACCATTGTACTTTATGCGCTTACCCCTTGCTTTGCTGGATATGTTCAATGCACAGGCCTCTGTGGCTCAAGTGGACAAACAAATGCAAGGAAACTTAAAATAGGTTGCGAAACCTCTATAAAAAAATATAGCTGGCCTATAACTTAAAAATGTATCTGTTACTTTAACTAACAAGAAGAAAGTGCATAGCCAATTAACATCATTTGACATTTCAAATAGTGATGACAGTTAACTTAATGATCTTTGAACATAGCCTAAGCCTATCTCGTTGAATGTAGGCTATGGCATATTCAATCATGCCAAAGCCTAACTTGTACCAATTTCTTAAGCTGGACCCCAAAGTTAAAAATAAAGATCTCTTAAAATATATTAACTTAAACCTACTACTATTATATAAAACATCAAATTATTTTCTATATTTTAATCTGACACATTAGCCTATTTACGAGTTTACAGTCTAGGTTAGGTTAACTTACTCCTAAAGAGGTTAGGGGAGTTGGAATATCTGGATTAGCCATTTAAATTGTTAATTTAAAATGACCCCTAAACAGTTCTTGAGAGAATAATATTTTTCAATTCATCAGAAAAGAGCAGCAAAACAATTTGGTGGTATTTTGGATACTTAAAAACAACTTCCAAAATCAAAGAAAACAGTTAGTTAAAACTCTGCAGACGCTCCATCACGATCACGTTGATGATGAAAGATGAATGCAAATTGCAAGCAAGCAAAACGAATTAAAAACAAAACACAAAACGAAAACAAAGCCCGACTGCCCGAGTGCCCGAGCACGCGAAGCAAAGCGAGGCCGGCTTCCTAAAAACAAGCAGCTGTTTTGGTGTCGTCTGCTCAGCTGTTACTCCAGTCATGTGTTCAAGACGTGTTGTTGTTGTTGGTTGTTACTTGTTGGTTGAACTTGACAAAAATGACAACACCATCAAAAATACTCAGACTCACCCACCACACACACATTGATTTGCAATCTTCGAACAAAGGAGACGAGGAGTTAGGGAAATTAGTGATAAGTATTTGTCATGCCTGTAAGACACTAATGTGGATGATTAATTCCCTAACCATTAAAAAAAAGTACGTGGACGTGGTTTAGCCATAGTGGTAACTTACGTTTATGTTCACATTATGGCCAAAACAGATTTTATGTTTCATCACTTAGGTACAGGTTAGGAAGGTTCCGTTTTTGGAGTCATTTTCAGCATTACCTGTCTAGAATAAAGCTATTTTTAATCTTACAAGTTTATTACTGTACTAAGAGAGTCCACCGCAACTATGGCGAAAAACTTCCTTAAAAGTAGTTTGCAAAATGCTTCGTTCAACATTATTTTTCAGGTAAGTTAGGTTATAGTGTTAATAGCATTTATTTAATTTTATCATAATAATTAAAATTAAAACTTACCTAACATTTTATTTTTGGTACAGTTTCTTAACTGAGCTACGCTAATATTGATTGAAACTATCGAATTGAAAATAAGTTATTGATTAATAACTTAATCAATATTTTTAAATATATCTGTTATAAAATAAAACTAACTTATCATAACCTAACCTAACCAACCAAACTTGCTGATGGTGAAAAAATCGCATGAAAGTTTACTAATCGAATCGATAGTTTCAATCGATATTAGCGTAGCCCAGTTAAGAAACTGTACCCTTTATTTTCAAACCCCCGACATTATTAAGCAGTAAGTTAAGTATTTACTGTAAACCTCATTACAGGTTAACTTAGATAATAAGTTTCACGTTTGAAGTTAAAACAAGCAAGGTAATTTAATTTAAATTGTGATTGGCAGCCTAAAAAAATAAAGTTATTTTCGGGCATCAAGTTAGTAAGTATACTTATAATCATTGGCTTTTTAATTTCTCTGGGGTACAGTTCCGAGACAACCTATGGTGTATTATCAGATGGAATCAAGTTAGGCCTATCAGTTAAAATATTTCAATCGGTAGGCCTATATTTAGATAGTCAATATAAATATTAATTATCTGCTAACTTAATGTATATTAGATTTATAAGTAGGCCTAGTTGAGTTGTAAGGCTGCATAATTTAAGCCTAGTTAGCCTACGTAATTTAGTAGGCTAGGCTAATACATAATGTAAAATGCAAAAATGATAGGATTTTGTGTTTTCATAGTAAGTAATGTTCTGGTAAATTCAATAAAAATATGAATTCATAAAAATTCCCTTTTTACTTTCTCCCTCTATAGGTACCATAGTACAGTAGAACCTCCAAGTAAAATATGAATTCATAAAAATCCCCTTTTTACTTTCTCCCTCTAAGTATAGGTATCATAGTACAGTAGAACCTCTTTAATCCGAACCCCTGTAATCCGAATGTCCACTAATCCAAACGCCTCATTGCTGTACCCTATACACAGTACAGTAGTTCTTTATTGTAAGTTATACTGTATTTATTGATATAATATGCACCGTAATTATTTCAATTGTAACTAGGTGAAACCCGTCGAATTCGACGGTTAGGGGCCTCCTCGTTTATACGGTCGTGTGGCTTCATTGGCAACAAATAATGCAAATGAAATAGCAATGTGCCATTTCCAAAGAGAAAAACATACTGTAAATTGGCTGTTACGTAAATATTGTCGTTTACATGCATTGTTAATCAACGTATCTTATAAACGATAATGTGATCTAGTTTAAAAAGAATATGACCTTTCTGTCGTGACAGTAGCTGCTTAAATAGTATTTACTCTTACAGCCAAAATATTGTGATACTTTCAATAATGTTACCAACGCAGTGAGCCACGGTCCGTAATATAGGTCACTGCAAATAATTAATTTGTCAAGATAGGTACCATTTTAGGCAAGGTTTTTGTGTTTGGATGTTATTAGACGCGATAAGAGCACACTGAACTTCTTCTGCAGATGAAGTTGGAGAAATATAAGCCGAATCATAAAAAATGCGACAATGCGAGTTTGAGCATTTTGTAACTATATGAGGAAGCTACATAGTATTTTTTAGGCTGCTGCTTAGTGCACTTAAGAATAAATTTTTTAGAGATGAATTACATTGTTTTTGTTGCTGAGTAGCGCTAGTAAAAATGCACAACCCTTTTCGTTAGTCTAATAAAATTCAAAGGCTCCCTCAGAGTTCAACTTCTTATTTGTATACATATCTATATTATGTTTACACTAAGATGAATGAATACATCAAAGTAACCTCTCTGAAAAGTCTGCAGTATATTGCAGTTATCCAGCTTAATGACTTTCTAAATCATGCACATATTTCAACATAAATATTGTAAAATATTTTATCCAGTGCTGTAAACCACTATTAATTTAACAAAATATGGACACGGCTCAAATGGGCACCGTGCTCTTCTGCACTTTTATTATTTTGTATTGTATTACGCAATCGATGATTTTTCCAATGATTGAAAGCATGTATGACAATAATCTCATGAACCTATTATGATCTGTCTAGAATAATATGATAAAATATAGGGAAAAGGTGTGAAAAAGGCAGACACAAACCCGTAAAATACATATAGGATAGTTCAATAAGAAATAATTGTAAGAGTTATTGTGATAATAGGATTTTCCACTGATTTGGTAATGGAACTTTATATTGAAACACATAACATGATACAGAAGAAAATCCAGTTTAAAATCAGAAAATAACATTGTAAATACTTCTTTTGGACTATTCAGTAACTCCCAATAAATGTTGTTTAAAATACAATTTTAAAATTAACAGCTGTTTTATTAAAAAGTATTATCCACATGACCAAAATGTAAACAAATCTGTGGAGGGATCTTTAAAGGCTTCTGGGACAGAGACCTAATCGAATTTACTTCGTTTTTCTTTTGATAACTCATCTACAGACCAAGACCTTTCTTTTGACACCTCTACCAAGTTTCTACGCCCAGCCGTTCTCTCAAATTAGTGGAGACAAAGTTTACAATTAAATATTTAGACTCCCCCATGTTAATCTTATGGGAGAAAGTCCAACTTTGATGGAAGATCCTGCCCAAACTAATAAAGATATCAAAAAACTAAAAACACTTTGCAAAACTACAGATCAGGGCAATTTTTTTGACACTTTAATCATCAAAATCGGTCCAAAAATGAGGGAGGAGTTCTGTTTACAAAAATCGGCTTAGCGTATTATATATATAGATAGATGTACAGTTCTGTTTATTCCCTATGTTTACTACTGTATTAAATAAACACTGTATTTGACTTAATAAAAGCATTTTTCACTTTTCCCTAGCTATTGTTATGTAAAAACAACAATATGTTCTGTAATCCGAACTATTCAATAGTCCGAACTACCCCCGGTCCCAATTAGTTCGGATTTAAAAGGTTCTACTGTATAGGGAGAAAGTAAGTTTTTTTTGTCAAAATTTTAGAGTTTGAGTGGATACTTAACTTGTATCCGTTTTAGTGAATTCAAGTAAAATATGAATTCATAAAATTTCCCTTTTTACTTTCCCCCCTATACCATTGTATATGGAGAAAGTAGGCTAAGTTATAGTTTTTGTAAAAATCTTCGAGTTTGGTTGGATATATCGGTTTTGGGTCCCCCTGTACGCAAAAAAGTGGTCTTCGAAGTGATGTGTCTGTGTGTGTGGATGTATACAGAGCTACAGACCATTTACCTGTAGTCCGATTTTGATGGCATTGGTATGTAGGCCTGTACTAATCCATGGTATTCCAGGCGTTTTTTCTTCATTTTTTTAAATTTTGATTTTTAATGTGGATTTCCCTATAAAACCCATAAAATAACAGAAAAATTGGATTTTCTCAAAAACAGCCCAAACGATTTTGATAAAAATTTAGTATGTAGCTATGTTAGTCCTTTAAGTTCTTAACAAAATAGTAGAAATCCCATTTCCGTATAAATTACGGGTCCAAAGTTATTGTAACTTACTTAGGGCCTAAATGTTATTTTCCAATCAAAATCCCAAAACATAACGAAAAATCTGATTTTAGAAAAAAAACCGTTTATTTAACTTAGTATGTTATGGTCCTTTAAATTTTGAACAAAATGGTACAATTCCCATTTCCTAAAAAATTATGGTTCAAAAGTGTAACTTATGTAGGGATCCCCATAAAAAAACCATAAATAACAAAAATCGGATTTTAGGAAAAAAACGGGTTTAATTAAAACTAATGTGTTATGTTCCTTATAATTCTAAACAAAATAGTGCAACCCCCCCCCCCCCATTTTGTAACAATCACGGTTCAAAAGTCATTACAACTGTTGTGATTTTTCACTGTATAATACCATAGCTGCTCCCACCAACTCATGATAAAGGTTGCTAACAAGTTTATGGGAGAAAGTATGTGTCAGATTGCTGATAGGCCTACCGCTTTTTTATGCATGATTTTACATTGTATTGGAAAATCAAATTAGGCCTACAAAGTTATGTTCAGGGTTTGCTTGAAAAATTACAAGTCATTGAAAAGTATTAAAGACATTACGATCCATTGGTTTTCCATTGATTTTGATAATCTTTAGATTATCACGTAAAAAATAGATAGGCCTAATTTTCAACTTATTTCAGAGCAACAGAAAATTGGCTAATTAAAATATATCAGGGATTTTGAAGTCACAAAGTGACACTGGTTGCTAGTTATAACTAAATCAATATTTTTGTTGTTAGATAATGTTCCGATGTTTAACATTCCTGATGAACGCATTTGTGCTGCGTCACGTGGAGCAAGCTGTGATTGGAGTGATGAATGTGAGACTTTTGCTGCTTGAGTCAACCATCTTGTTTCTCAGTAGAGAAGCCTTCCGACGAGCCTGTCTGACCAACACCACTTCCCACAACTGGGCTCAAGTTATTAACCTGCTTTGGTTAATGTAAGTATAATTTTTTTAATGTAATAACTAGCCTATCTAGTTTTACAACTATTTGTTCCCCTATATGGTCTAGGATTTAGTAGTTAATATAATAACTCATATATTTTGCACTACAGTAGTTATTTTTTTTTCTTACGGCCAACAAGCGTTTTGACTACAAATAAATCTGTTCCTCATTTATCAAACACAAAGTATGTTGACCTTTAGAAAGAATTTCCCTTAAACACTTGGTATGGAATAACTGACAATTAAGTGGGCCCTATTAAATTGCTCTATTTATTCAAATCAGCTGATTTGACTCTCAAATCAGTTGATTTGATTCTCCCTTGCTCAGTAGGAGAGTTTCGGGTTGATGAGGCAGACTGTATTGGTTCAAGATCGCCTCCTGAATACATCATTGTGGCCCCCATTGGCTTACCCATGTGACTTATACCATAGACAAACCAACACAAGTAGACTTCTCATCCCATTGTAAATTTTGAAGCTCGTTTTTCATGTCTAGTTCATGTACGCCACACTAGGCGCTAGTGTCGACGAAATTTTGTTTCTATTATTTTAGGGTTAATTTCTTGATTTGTGCTTTACTGTTTGGTTAAATAACTAGGGGACAATTTATTGTTTATGATTAGATCGTATTATTTGGTTAAACGAGATTTTAAATGACTGTATTAACGGGAAACAAATTGTAAAAAAAACACGACCTCTACATAAACCGTACAGAACTAACAATAAAATTGTCTTCAGCTGTTCCATTAGGATGAGAAATCTACTAAGGGAGTATGTTTTATCTATGCTTATACCTTGGCGACTCTACATTCTTTAGACCACTGAAGGCTACTGTAACAAACCAGTATTACATGAGTAGGTTTCATCATAGGTTTCATTCATGAGTAGGGGCCATCTGCCCCTGCAGATGAGGTTTATAAAAAACTAGGATTGCTTTCAGAGCGGTGAAAGCCAGTTGAGCGGAGAAAACTTGATTTAATATTTGGGTAACTAACTAAATAAAAAAAAACAATATATGTACTAATGCTTGTTTTATTGATTGAAATTTTAATAATTTACCTCTTGACTACATCTTGATGTGATTCAGATAGGCTACCTCTTGCAAAAGTAGATTAAATTACAGTAGTTGGGACTATGATAATAATATGGAAAACGCGAGTAAAAAAAGTTAAAGTTAAAAGTTAAAGTAGAGTTAAAAGTTAAAGTAAAAAAAGAGGAGGGAAATTTTACATTTAAACTCAACTGTACAAAAAAACCGTGGACTTCATTATGACCCTTGCAATCGGTAAAAAGTATTGAAGTATAAAAAACAATAAGTATAAAAAAACGAACATTTAAGTATAAAAACATGAGGGAAAATTTGAAATTTAAAAGTCAAATGTGTGACATAAACATTAAATTTGTCTTCATTTTAACCCTTCCAATCGATTGAACTCAGCTTTCTTTGCAGGAAATAACTTATGGCTGTTTATGCCAAGTAGTCTTGATGGAGGAAATGAGTGTAATAAAAGTCCATCCAGTTGTCGAACTCTAGATAATGCTACATACGTCAATCCAAGAGCAAACTCTTTTTGGCCAATGTCAACAACACATTTGTCCACTGTTATCCCTTGACTCCGGTGGACGCTGATAGCAAATGCTAGTTGTAATGGCATTTGTTTTCTGACACATGACACTCCATTGTGTTTAAAAGAGACTGTTACAGGGGTAATGGGAACTACACCATTAAAGATTGTGGGACCTTTGTAATTGTCAAAATGAACCAAAACACACAAAGGCATATCTTCTAAGTGGTTTGCAAAATCTGAAGTCTTGTAAATTATTTCATGTACTGTCCCCAAACTTCCATTACAAAGTCCTTTTGACGTCCACAAGTTCTTTTTTAAAATAACCCTGCAACCAACACATAGCTTGAGTATATTTGGGAGTCCTTGGCAGTCGTCAGTATCAGCTCTGCTTGAAGTGTTATTGCTGTTTATAGCGTTTATAATCGTTACTGGGTTTCCAGTATTCTTCAATCTTTCCAGGTTGTATGTTTCAATTTCAGAATTTGTGCTTATAATTCTTAATACATTTTCACAACAGTGTAGTTGTTCTCGATTTGTCCAGGTGAATCGTGTTTCGAGGAAATTATAATCATCCATGGTTATCACACCATTAGCTATATTGTTGAGCACATTTTTGAAAGCATTCTGATCTTCTCCAATCTGTCTCATGATTGTTTTTAGTTCAAATACCTTGTCAAAAGTCATAAACATTGCTTTGCCATGAATTGCTAGTTCGCTCACACCAGCTTCCATGTATAATGCTCGGTCTTTAACTGGCTGTAATTGGTTAGGATCGCCAAACAAATATACGATATAACCACCAAATGGCTCGTTAGATAATTCTGGATTACCTTGACGAAGCCTTTTGTCCATTGTTGCGAGCATTCTTTGGCCTATCATGCTAAACTCATCGCATATTACGGCTTTTATACTTAACATCATTTCTTGAAAAGATTTTCTAGACTCTCCAGATAATTCTCTGACTTCACCAAATCGATTCAAATTAAAACGCAAGGCTGAATGAATTGTCTCTCCCTCAATATTGTTAGCTGCAATGCCTGTAGGAGCTAATAAGAGTATACTTTCTTCACCATGCCGTACTTTACACATCCGAATCATTTCCCGAATCACACAACTTTTTCCGACTCCGGCAGATCCACATACAATTGTACGCTTTTGACTAGTTTCATTATTCAACTGACGATTAAAATGATCGAGGACATTTTGCTGATCAAGGTTAAACACAATTTCTTCGTTGCCATTATTTACTGCGTTAATCTCCTCAGCATTTTTTGATTGCTTTATGAAGTCTTTTGCCTCTTCAATGTTTGGAAACTGGTCATATGCATGGTACCAATTGTGTTCTCTGTCGAGTGCACGCAAACCAATTTCTGTTTCAGTTATAGGCACTTCAGGATGAGCTGCAGAAATCTCCATCCAGTCATGTTGGTCAATATCGCCTTCATATTCATATTCATTGTTTTCTTCGTCTGGAGTTCCTTGTAAGTCCCAAACATTTAATGTAGGCCTACTATTTTCATATGTCTCTTTCCAGCTCCGATGAGTTTTCACATGTTGTTCTATACGAAAATTTGAATGAAGCAACACTTTTTGCCTGAAATATATTTCATCCGTGGATTCATTCATACCCAATGAAACATAAGGGACAACTTGTACTACATTTTTTTTATGAGATGCTACTAACCTAGATCCCACTGTTTTGAAACTACTTACAAACTCAAATAGAGTCATATTTTCATATTGCACTGGACGGTTTTTGTATGTTTCCAAAATCGATTTAGTGTTTCGGTTTGCGGATGTCGTCGTCAATTGAACATACTCTTCATTCCCTATAAACAGTTTTACGAACTGCCTACTGCAGTGGTACAAAGGATCACCATTTAGTAGATGGTGAACTTCGCATGCACTATAGTCACGGTTTCCAACGATTTTATTTAGTAGTTTTGTAAAAACGGTTCGAGCGGGAGCAGTTTTTGATAAACTTGATGCTATTTCAGTGATCATTTCTTTATATGTGTTTGAATGCGGTTCACCTTTTGCAGCATATTTTGACAGATAATTGATTATTATTTGTTTGGATGTTACAACCTTGCAGTCTGTATTAGCTCTCCAAGAATGGCTGACAAAACGATTATGTTCGTCAAGTAATTCATCATTTCTTTTTGGAGTGAAGGTCCATATGCCCTTTTCATTTTTCTCGAGAGTAGATGTCTCCACAATTTTTTTTGGAAACTTGAACCTACATGTCTCCTGGTTACCTTCTTTGCGTAAGCAATACTGTGAGTGCCTAGTATGTCTTTGAACGCGATTGAGAAGCTGTGCAGTTTTTTCACTATCATTAAAATCTATATCAGTACACCACTCACGTGAAGGGTGTTTTTCAGCAGGAATCGCATTGACATTTGGATTAACAGCTGTAACAATGCTGTCATAATACTCTATATACCTTTTAATATCATCTGACCCAGCATTATCAAATGATGATACATCTGGCGCTCCTTCTAACCAAGCAACCATATGAATATGGGGAGCTCCTCTATGCTGCCATTCAAAACGATACCAAAAGTCTTTAATTTTTAGCTTTTCTTTTAGGATGCCCATGTAACACTCTACACGTTTAGAAAAAAATTCATCAGCTATCATGGGGTTTTCAATTAGCAATTTTTGCATGAATTTTGAGAGCTGACGATCGTTTCGGAATTGTTTGACATCAATGTCAAGTATGTTTGAAAGGTCGGGAAACCAAAAGTCTGCAGAACTCAATGTTAAGAAAATTGTTGGGACACCCAACTGTTCGACCATACACTGTAATTCAAGTCTCCTTTTAAACCAATATGATGATGATCCACGGATTTTTGCTCCAAATGACAACAGCTTATTTAGTAAATTTGGGCGATGCTTAATTTCTTGAATAAGTTGCTCAACAGAACCATTAAAATCGTGTTTTTTTGCAAATATTTTGCTAGAATTAATGGCGTCATGCCGCTGGTCTCGATTAAGGACAAAAAACCTAAACCGTGTGTCTTGAGCAAAACGTTTATCATGATAATGCATGAGAAAGTACAACCACTGTTTAAATGTTGGGCGATCTGCTGGATTGCGGCGATTGTCCAGAAATGTTCCTTCACCTGTGGGGAATAAGTGTGGAAATGCATGGACGATATATGATTCAGATGTAAATTCGTTGATTGGATTTTGGTTAGCGGATGGCCAATTCAGAACGGCTGACACTAACTCAGAGTCCCGTTGTTCTGGTAAAATTGGAACGCAAGTTTCGGTTACATGGTCATTTTCATCAATGATTTCACTGGCACTATTGTCATTTAAACTTGGTAGCTGTTCTGTAACAAAGTCGTCCTCAGGTAAACTGGCTATAACGTCACTGTCTATTTCTATGTCACTATAAAAGGGATTGTTGTCTTTCAA